AGACTTAAATAATGCTGATGCACTAATTATATCCTCAGGGACCTGAGGACAGTTAAAGCGAAGGAAAGTGGCAGCCGTCCAGAAGTGACACAGCAATTCAAGAAGGGGAGCGTTTACATGTGACTTAAAGTGTGCATAAAATGATACATAAAATTAATTTTGCATGTTACCACTCACTCCGTCTAGTTGAAACCAACTGTAACAAGTGGATAGACAGATTTCTCCTGGTGAATCACATTTATTTACCCTGCCACTATCTGTTTGGTTCAATTCTACACGTGTCCCCCCTGCACAGGAATGGGGCTCTTTGCAGCCTGGATGGAAATGTGTACCCTGGCGCTCCTCTGGTAATAATCCCCTGTCGAGTCCAAAATGAGCTCCGCTTTCCCCTTCCTTTGGGAGCTCTGCAGTCGGCATGAGGGAGTCCCTACCATCTGGGGCTGCTCAGGGCCTGGGTGTCTCGACGTTAGGGTGTCACGTGGGCGCCTCCAGCCCAGTGCTGGGAGCTTAGGGTCAGTGTCACCAAAGAGGCACATTCACAACAGAGACTGACCAGGGGTTGGGGGAGGATTGGGCCAAATAAATCCTTGGATGTAAAGCCTCGTTCTAAAGTTAGCAACAATGCTTGGAGTCAGAGAGGAAAACTGCTCAGGAATTTAGTGAAAAACTGACCTGTGTCCACCTGATGAGGACCCCCCGGGGCTTCTCTGCATGCGGCCTCTGGGGGGCATGTCTTCTAGCATCTTAGTATATCTGCCCCCTCTGGGGGAGCAGAGGGAGCATAGCAAGGCCTCCGGATGCCAGGCTAGCAGCCTCCGCAGAGGCTCGTGGGAGAAGCAAGCTCCTTGAGCTCATCTGTGGTCAAGGGTTGTTTGGTTTTCTTTGGGAAATTAGGACACTGGGAGGAATTCAGGTGTGCTCTCAGGTGCTGCCGGGGCCACCCTAACCTGGGCAGTCCCCTCCTCCCTCCAGCAGAGGAGGCCTGTGCTCACTGTCTCTCTCACCATCCAGCTTGGCCTGGAGGGTGCTTCAGCATCCCGACCTCTCTGCTGCACAGCTGCCCATACACCACCTGCCCAGACCCACCTGCTTGGCCCTATCTGCCCAGACCCGCTGGCCTGCCTTCAGCCCAGTGTCAGGTCAATATGAGGTCTGTGGGTGGCAGCCTGGGGCCCAGAGTTGAAGTCCCGCCTCTCCTAAACCCTGCAGTACCACACAACAGGGCCCTGGCTTGTCCCAAGCTGAGCGGTGTGTATCTTCACTCACCTATTTTCAGCTGCTTCTTACTCCCACATCTCTGGCCCTTCCACTGACCAGAACCTTCTCAGGACCCAGCACCCTACCCCAGGTTCTTAGGAAAACTAATGATTCCTGTAAACCACCTAGCAGCCGGTCTGCTCCGGAGTAGGACAGCCTCCCAGAGCGAGATGGGGGGTCCTTGGCTGAGCTGAGCTGGTCCGACTTCATGCCTCTGGGGCTGACCCAGAGCTGTCTCCGCTCTGTCTCTGCACCACAGCCACCTTGCATCTGCGTCTCTGAGGCTGCCAGCTTCTTAATAATTCTCCCATGAAATACTGTGTCTGCTGTGGGATGAATTTACACGCCCCAGGACATTTCCACATCAGTGGGTGACTTAACTGCCTGCTTCTCTGTGAGCTCTGAGCATTATTTCCGCTGTGACAGTGTCTGTTTGGTGAGATCAGGTCCTGGCTTTGAAATTCCCAAGTGCAGGTCTTTTAGGGAAGAGGGAGACAGTGGGAACAGGTGGTCCCGGCACAGACACCACCAGCCGCCTCGACTGCTGGACAGTGTCTGGGAAAACTCCCCTTTGGGACTTCTGATCAGCTTCCCGGAAGCAGTGCCCACAGCAGGGATCCAGATCCTGTGAGTTACTAAGGAGTGAATTCCAGGAGGGGAGCGGCAGCAGTAGGGCAGGTGCCGAGAGAGGATGTGGTCTCAGCTGGAGCTGAGCCTTGTGGTGGCTGGGACCGTGACCCATCCCACCCTCCTCACCCCAAGTCAGGCAGGTCGGGGCTGCAGGCTGCCCCCGGTGAGACAGTGACTGGCTGAGCATGATTGGCTGGAGCAGGTGTGCCCAGGGCAGCCACGCCCGGGGAGCTGGGGTGGGTGCACCTGCCGGTGAGGGCGGTCCATGGGAAGGCACCGCAGGGGCTGTGATGGGGGCCAGCACCGCACGGGGAAATCAGGATGGAGAAGAGACGCGAATGAAACTCAGAGGGACTAACGAGATCATCTGGGACCGCACCCTAGTCCCCCCATCTTCCTTTAAAATGAGGCACCGGTTTCCTGGGCAGCGGGTTCACTGCTGAAGGCCCTGCAAAGGCAGGGAGGCCAGTCTCCAGGCCCCTGCACACCCAGCTGGCTTCCTCCCTTCATGCTTCCAGAGGAGGGGACATCGGGCAGCGCAGGGGGGACGCTGCAGGTGGCTGTGCCATCCCAGATCACGGTGGTGGGGCGGGGGGCCTGGGCAGCACGATTTCCTGCCTGGGAAGCTGTTGGCCCATCAGCAGCCGACCAACCTGTGTGCGCACACAGCCGGACGGCAGGAGTCTGCTCAGGACCTGCTTCCCCTGCACTGCTAGTGGTCAGCTGCCTCTTCTCTGACATGCACCGCAGCCCTGGTCAGTCAGAGCCGGAAGCAGAGCCTGCCTTCCTGACAGGAGCCATCCCCCACTCCCAGCCCCCCAGGGGCAAGGCCCGCTGAGTGGGTGCTGAGAATAAGTGCCAAGTGTTGCCAGGGAGCCGTCCTCATACAGACCAGGAAGCTCTCTATCCCAGAGCCATGGGTAGGAGGGAGGGGCCGGGTCTTCTGGAGGGGCTTGGGGTCCCTGCTGACCCGGATTCTGTCAGGAGGCCTCATGCAGTGCAGAGCTGCGCATGATTTACAGCAGGAAGCAATTACCTTCAGCTTTGTACTCAGTAAAATTCCTCGTGCCAGCCGAGCCTGGCTCTGTAAGGGCACGCAGCCTCCTGCCAGGCTCACCGAGGCTAGGCATCTCCTGCCTGGGCTCACTAGGGGCAGGGAAGGGGCCAACCGTTGTGCCAGGTTGCCAGTCTTCCCCTGTACTCCCTGGGCAGCCCCCTGCTGTCCTGCCTCTCACACATGCCTTGCTTCTATTTCTGTGAGGCATGGGGGATGCTAGAGGAAAGATTTCCATTCCAGCTCCACCTGCACAGGGATGGAGCTGAGGCCACTAAGCATGAGGGCAAGCTCTCAAGGTCACTTGAAGGCCAGGGGGCAGATCTAGCCCTGGAGAGGATGTCCTCCAAGAGGGAAGGTCACAGTCCTCTTCCACCTGTGATGAGCAGGCCAGCAGCGGCCAATGCCCAGGGGCCCAGTGCTCGGGGTGTGGGTCGCGGCTGGCTGGATGCTGGGTCCTCATGCTGCCACCCAGGACTGGAAGAGACAGGGTGAACCCCACTGACTACCCAGACGCAGAGCTTCGGCTCTGCAAAGTGACCGTCTCATGGTCTTGGAAGCCAGGAGTCCCACAGGGACCTCACCGGACTGAAATCCAGGTGTGGGCAGGGCTGCACCCCTTCTGAGGCTCGGAGAGTCTCCTCAACTCTGGGACTCTGGCGCTTGGAGAGGCGCCTGTGTTCCGCGACTCCCTTGGCTCCGAGGCTGGCGGTGCACCCCCTTCCAGCCCCTCTGCCTCTCCGGGCCCCGTGTGTGTGCGTGTGTGTGGTCACTGCTTCTGTCTGAACTTCTGCCCTGATTCTGACCCTCTTGCCACCCTCTTCCTGTTCTTAGGACACTTGTGATCACAGGGGACCTGCAGAGGCAATCCAGGAAAATCCCATCTTAAGATATTAGCTGACTCTCGTTTGTAAAGGCCCCTCTGCCATATAAGGTCACAAATTCATAGGTTCTGAGGATTAAGATGTGGACATTTTTAAGGGACATCATTCTGCTGACCACCCCCATGAGCCTGGCCTGGCCAGGGTAGTAAATCTGAAGACCGTCTCAATGTCATTTCTGGGATGGGTCCTGGTCCACCCAGAGTTCTCAGAACATGGGGTTCAGCCCCCAAGCCCTTTGCGTGGCCTGTGGGGAGTGGCGCGCTGGGTGGAGTGGGGAATTTGCGGGCAGGAGTGATTATCCCTGTGCAAAGCAGAGTGACCTGTGCTGGCCGGGACCCGTCCTGGAGACCGACAGCCTGTGTGTCTGGCTATCAGGGCCAGGGCAGGGTCCAGCAGGTGCACTCCGGCCTGGTCAGAGGTCCTCCCCCGAGAAGAGTGCGTCTCCACGCCGCTGAGCCCTGACGCCCTTGGAGGGGTCTTTTCCTTCCTCCTTTTGCTTTTCTTTTCTTCACTCATCAATCTTTTCTCTGTTCTGATAAACTTCCATGGATAAAGGCTCTTACGATTGCATGTCATGCCTTTCAGAGACGTGAGGTTCCTACATACGAAGCCACCAAGCTGAATTCTTTTGCTCTTCTCTAAATGAACCCGGGCGCAGGGGTCGGCCTGGCTCACCAGAGCTGCCAGTCAGTGTCTCTGCTGCTGGGGAGCAGCGTGCCGCGGAGCAGGCCCCCTCCAGGGCTGTGGAGCCCCCACCACCAGGGCGCTGCTCATCCGGGCACGTGTGCTGAGGGTCCCGCTCCCGGGCACTGGCCCCTGATGGGCCCCTGGGCACACAGGGTCTGAGGGACTGAAGCCCATGCGGTGTTCCAGGGGGGCTATGACCTCTTCTCACCCTGCCAAGCTGTGTGCTTTGCTGAACTTTGGTGTCCTTTTTGGCAAAAAGATGGCCAAGATATTATCTGCCTGTTAATCAGATGACAATAAATGATAAAGATCTGTAAAGTATCCTAAAAAGTCAGACATGGTCATTATTATTTATACTTCACATAAATAACCTTTGCAAACATGCAGATTTCAGTCACGAAAGGCTTTTTGAGTGAGGGCACACGCCAACTAGTTTTTTAACTAAATGTGTTTGAAGGTAACTCAGATGAGTTTCTCAACTCAAACAGGTGTGTTGTCTGGACGGGCGATGACCGGGTTTTCTTCTTCAACCCGACGATGCAGCTGTCTGTCTGGGAGAAGCCCATGGACCTGAAAAACCGCGGGGACCTCAACAGGATCCTGGAAGACCCGCCCCACAAACGCAAGCTGCAGGCGTCACCAAGGAGTAAGAGCTCTGCTCTTTGCATCCTCTAAGTGTTCAAGCTCCATATTCCTAAGGAGTGTGAAAAGAAAGCATGTTTTTACTGGTTATGGTGGCAATTGACTTAAGGATTGCATTCACTATTTCAGAATTTAGTAATTAGGTTTCTGTGGCATTTTCAGCAGAGACATCGATCCTTCCAAGGGTCACCTCTGGCCTTCCTCCCCGTTGCGTTAAGTCGTTAGCTCAGGGAAAGCCTCGCATGCCTTCTTGGAATTCCCTGCCCAGCATCGTCATCGCCCAGCAGTTACTTTTGGTTCCAAATGCCTAATGAACTTCCCTTGAGAGACCAGATCCGCACGAACCAGGTGCGTCTCCTGTCCCACTTGGCACATCCGTTTTAGAGCTTTGGAGGACATCCATCCATTGTTCACTTGAGTAGATGCTTGAATTCGAGGCGACCCACGCGTGACGCCAGAGAGGGCTCTGAGCCATGGAGGGATGGGGCGCTCAGCAGGGACGCAGCTGTTCTCACGACGCCTATAAATCATACTTCCCCCAGAGTCAGGCCAGAGGGTTTTTTTGCAGAAAGGATTCTTTCTGATTAGGGGTAATACACTTTTTATTAGCTCCCTGAATCCTGTGGGGTGAACAGTGGTGGCCACGCTGGGGAAACAAGATCAGGAGCTCTCTCGGCGTGAGATGCATGTGCTCGGCCGGAAGCCCAGGAAACGGAATCTTGGCCCCTTCAGAGGGAGTCTTTCTTTTATTTTTATGGGGTGTTTTATTGGGTTTGCAGTGATATTTCTGATTCCATGTCATGTAGGGCCATCAGAAGACAACAGCGGCTGTGCTTTAGTGGGATCCACAGGCATCTGACCAGAGGGTCAGAACATGGCATTGCACGTTTTCTTGACATATTTAGCAGTGCTAAGAGACATGGAAAACATGTTCTTGCAAAACTGATAGTAGTTTTTTAAGATTGAGAGATGACATGTTTGATATGTTTATTTCACTTAGGCTAACAGGGATATTCTCCAGAGAGCTTGAATCCACTGAAACTTGGAAGAGAAAAGAGATCTTGGCCCATACCGGACTGAATCTAAGCGTGTGGCTACACTCGGGCACAGGGAGGGCCGGGGCTGTGATTTTGTGTCCTCTGATTGAAAGGCGTCCCTTGTTAACGGGTATTTTGGGTGCTGCAAGGAGGCTTGAAAATGCCTGTCTCCCACGGTCCCCACCCGTGGACAGGAAAGGTGCCCAGTGTGGTGAGGACAATGGACCTTGTGAGAAACATCACTGCACGGCTTATCACAGCAGCAATTTTATCTGATTAGTAAAAGGTAAAGGATGCAGAGCCCTTGTTCCTTTCTTCCCCTTGGCTCTCCCATAGGTAACTGGGTGCTGCTGCTTTCCTTTTTCCCCCAGAGCACGGGTAGGAATGAGAAAGAAAGGGCCTCATTAGCACTCAGGTATGGTTGCCCTCGTGTTTCTCTCACTTGGACCAAAGCAAGCGAGATGGAAGATAAACAGAGAGGTGTCCGCGCAAGTCCCCGCTGAGCCGTCTGTCAGTTCCAGGCTTGTGCGGAGTGTAGCTGAAGGACAGGACTGAAGATGAACTGAGGGATGGGAAACATTCCAATAGTTCATTTGAGCAAAGACTGGTTGGACTTTGCAGTGAAGTAGTTAAGGGTGCTCTGCTGCTGGGAGCCAGGGAAGACGTACTGAGAAGGTGTGCAAGCAAAGAAAGCAATTACTTGACTGGCTACAGCTTAGCTGGCTGTCTGTGATTGGTTGTCCTGAGTGTTTCGATTGGTTGCATAACCTTGAGGTATTTCCCGGCTTCAGTTTCTGTCCGCTTACCTGGAGCTGCAGGGCATTAGAGCACCTCCATCCACTACTTCCTTGTGGAATTAATTCAGCAACAGGGATCTGAATTAACTGGGTCATAGATCAGTATTCCATTTCGGTCCCTGATCGTGAATCTCATTTCATCCTTAAAAGGTAAAGAATTGAGCCTTAAACCTAAAAAACACAACCAGAAGTATTTGAAGACTTTAGCTTTAATATATCCAAGTGTCTCATTCTCCATCAGTGCAGCATGGCGGCCCTAACTGCCCTGCCTGGGCAGACATGTGATGATAAAATTACAAGCAGTCACAGAACAAGTTTTAACCTGCTTTCTGTTACAAAAAGAGGGAGGGATTTTCTTAAACCCATATTTTAAAGACCTGAATTTTAAAGATACGCAGATGACCTCCTTTTCCCATCCCCTGTTGCAGGGTGGAGCGGACGTTTAGTGCATTGCTCCTCGTTTCCCAGAGCTGCCCACCTGAATTGTTCTGTTTATAGCAGAAGAACTGGGACTAGGATGTTTCTGGGAGATTAATTAGAGATTAGTGGGCAGAGTTGATGACGTCCAGCCATCAGCAAGTGGCATTTTCCCTGGCCTCTCATCTATCATGATTCATTGAATGATATGACCCTAATTATTTTAAGAACTAGCTCTAGAGAGATTGTTCTTGGTGGAGAATTTTGTTTTTTACATTTTGTTCACCTATGAGTCATAAAGGATTTGAGTATATTAATACCTGTTTCCAGTCTGAAATGGAGTGATTAAGCATTCTAGTGGATAGCCATTATTTTTTAAGAGGCAAACAAAATAAATGAATTTTGTAAAATAGCTGCCACATTTAACTGTTAGGTTTAGAGGTGTGTGTGTGTGTGTGTGTGTGTCTATATGTCCATGCGGTGCATGTGCATGTGTGTACGTGCATGTAGTATCTGTGTGTCTATATGTCCATGTGGTGTATGTGCATGTGTGTCTGTACGTGCATGTAGTATCTGTGTGTGTGTGTTTGCATGTCTGCCTGTGTCTGTGTTGGAGTCAGGGTGCAGGAGTGGAGGTGCAGCCGATAGCATCAGGCAGCTCTGGGGGGCAGGAGTCAGAACTGCCAGAAGTGCTGAGCCACTCATCACTCAGCAGATAAGGAAAAGTCCCGTTTTCAATTCTGTCAGCACTGCTGAGAGACTCAGACGAAGGCCTGAATGATTTCCTAATTACCTTGCAGCGCGTCCAGGTTTGTTACGGCTCTAGCAGCTATGCTATTAGCTGAGAATAAATGCCTGTTGAACTGCAGTGACTGAGAAGCGCCAGCCTCACCCCCGCCGCTGCTCACTGGCTGTTCCGGGCCCCCCGAGCTCCTTTCAGCCCACACTCACATGTGTTCCTCACACCCAGCAGACGCCAGGTCCTTTCATGCAGCCTCTGTAGCACCGAGGTCCTGCCTTCCGGCAACTGGGCAGAGACCTCCTGGCAGCCAGGCTGTCGCAGCAGCTGCTCCCTTGGGGAGCCCTATGCCTGCAGGACAGTGGTGCCTCCTGTGGGAAGTGACAGTGGTGAGGTGATGAGATGGGCCTGCGGGCTGGTGAGGGTAAGGGAGGCAGGGGACAGATGGGGAAGGAACCCCGGCCTCTCCTGCCTTGTGGTCTCCATGGCACCTCCCAAGGCCAAGGACAAGCAGCCTGGGGTGGGGGAGGTAAGAAGGCAGAGGGGGCGTCCTGGGGACCCGGGGAAATCGGGGAGTATGCAGAATGCTCACCACAGCCCCTGAGGTAGGCGCTGCCTGTGTGAGTTGCTTGTGACAAATTATCACAGTTACCACAAATCTACAACAACTCGTTTGTTGTCAGTCAGTCCAGAGGTCGGCTGGCCAGACGCTGTCTGCCTGGGCCTGGTGGAGCTGGGGGCTGGGTCCGCCCTGGAGGCTCTGGGGAAGGAGCTGCTTCCCCACCTCGTCCAGCGTCCAGAGGCTGCCCGGCTGCCCGGGCTCTGCCCTGCTCTTTCTGCAAACCCAGCCACAAAGCGTCTGCTCACCGCTCTCATGCTTCCCCCTGCGCTTTCAGGGGTCCTGGGCCCACGGAGACCCATGATGCCCTCCCCAGTTAGGGGCCAGCTGGCCAGCAGCCTGCGCCACGCGGCCTCACACAGCCCCGGGGCCTCTCTGGGGGACGTTATTCTGCAACCCACTGTGCACCCATTTTACAAGAGGGAACTAAAGAAAGGAGACTCATTAACTTGCCCAAGGCCATGCTTCTGTCAAGTGGGGAGACCGGGATTTGCTCCCCTGTGGGTCGGACTCCAGAGCAGAGGCGGGGCGGCCTCGCCGGGCCTCCTGGGAGCTGTGAGCATCCAACAGGAATCAGTTCCTGGAGAGCGTGTCCTCACTGGTGCCTGACGCAGTACAGTCAGGGGCAGGCAGCCGCGCACTTTGACCTCTTTTGTCCCCACCCTGTAATAGGCACGGCATGAAGTTCCCTTGGCTTCCATTGCTCTGTAAATATTTTCATCATTTATATTCAAGACCATTATCAATATCACTGTACATTAATGATGACGTTCATCTCACCAAGTAGGGCATAAAGCCCCCATGAGTAAACACAGCTGTGACTCATGAAAGGGTAGCTTCCCCAAGCTCTGTTTGCCCAGGGGCTGAGTACACAGATGCCCAGGTCACAATGGGACCAGGTGGCCAGGCACTCAGCAGGGTTGTTTTCCAAATGGGGTGGGCACCATCTGTCCAGAGACTCAGGCTGAGGAGAGGCCCTTCCTAGGCAGAGTTCCCCTGCCTGGCTCTCTGGGATGGATCCTGGCCTCCCCTGACCCTGTGTCCCATGTCCGAGCACCACCTGGCGGCCCGGCCTGCATCTCCTCTTGGCACACTTGTCTCCTAAGCTGCCCCTTCGCGCTCTGTAACATGACCCCACATGAGACAGGTGAGGGCAGGCAGGTCTTCTTCCAGGGCGTCCCTTACCACCCATCCCAGGAAGCAGGGTGCCTGTTGAGCACTTGTGGGATTGGCCGGGCAGCTCTGCTGGGGAGGAGGGAGCAGGTGTGCGGGCCCTGGGTGGCTCTACGATGCTCTGTGGCAGTCAGTTTACAGTGGCCTCCCTGGGAGCCTGGGCACCCTTCGGGGGTGTTTTGTGTTGCTCATTACTCCCAATTTGTGACTCAGAAAACTGAT